TTTATACCGACGGCTTAATTATCCATTCCCCATAAACGAATTAAACCGTCAGATGGAAAAAAAAAAAAAGGAATACAATTGGAATTTGTTCATAAGAAGCGAACGGATATTTACAGTCCCTTGGTTCCACTCGTCTTGATCCGTTCTCTTTGCTAAGAAAATTGGCGAGAAAATTCAGATATCACCGGGTTCTCCGCGGTTTCCTACGTTCGCAGCGAAAGCCGTATCAAGAGGTATCGCATTATCTTAATGCTACGTCTCGCTGTAAGTGTGCCCGATCTCGTTAAACTATCGCAACTGTTTAAACTTCTGGAGTTTTACCGGAGAACAAGCTGAAAGAAGATCTCACCGCGAGACTGGAAATACTTACGTATGCGTAAAAGGAACGGATACGGGGTCGCCGACGAATTTAGCCACTTCCGCGAGTTTTCCACGTGACGTGAGGTGATTTGAATCATGAACAAGAACGGAATTCACAATTTTCACGCAACGACGTCGTATCTCTTGCCGGAATATCGACAATTTCAATTTACATAAAATCACCTGGATCGTATTGTATTGAACTGTGACAACGTGCTTGGCGAATTTTTACTAGTGGCGCCGAAAGTGGGACGCCTGAATATTTCAAGTATAATTGAACTTATAAAAAAGGAACTAGCAAAATTGATGCTGAATTTTTATGATTTTAGTTTAAGAGGTACCGAATTTTCTCGGTTTCAATCGTTCGACCGTGGGACGATTTTTGCTGAAAATTCCAAGAGGCGTAGAGGTGCGAATTTGAAAAAAAATATCAGCTTATAGGGAATGATAAAACAGAACTGTTTTATATTTACAGTTTATTCATAGGACGCTATAGTCCAAACAACAATTACCAGTTTATGTAATTTGGGGAATTGACAAGAAAATACGAAAAATCGGCAGAAATATAGAAGCAATAAAAGCGTACGGTTCTTATGACGAGCTATTTACAGTAGAGTTTGTAACATAAACGTATCAGTTTATTACTTCGTACGAATCAGAAAACACCAAATGTTCAGTAAAGGAGTCTTAGTCATTAGTAGATAGCGCCACTACATTTATTAAACTAGAGCCATTCTGGTTGATTTTGTGACAGAGGGTGTAAAAGAAGGAATGTACAAGCTTGCAGGACGATGGAAAATAGTTGCGCAAATAAATGATGAACACTTCGTTAAACGAAATAATATTTTAAAAATGTTGAGAGTATTCGAGTCGGGTTTTCCAAAGCCGCGTAAACTTTTCCCGGCACCTAATAGTAATCGAATATCTGTGATCAAACGACATGGAACCAAGAGATTTGACTTCACGCGTTCGGTAATGTATGCCCGTCACAAGTAAAGCGAGTTCGCGACGAATCTCGTTTCGCCAGCGGTACGCGATAAGGAAAAATTCTCGAGATTTCCTCGGTTCATCTCCTGAACAGGAACTTTATTTCCTGAGGTAAGTCGGAGACGGAGATGCAGAGTTGTTACCCCAGAGACGAACCCCTTACGAATCGAGCCACTGCACCTGCAGCTATAAATCTCTTCAGGATATTACTTAATGCACCGACGTTTCGAGCCACGATAAATCGATTTCTGCCACTTTCCCGCCAATTCACGACGATGTTTCGCCCCGAGTATACCAACAAAATACTGACACATATTGCTGCACGTATCGATCTTTCTACAAGCAAAAAACGCCACTTTATTTCTGTGTCGTAAAGCAGTAGCAACTTTCCGAGACGCGTGTCTCGAATCACGATTCGACTCTTATTTAATTTCAGAGAATTTATTTCTGGTATACCCACGAAAGCGACCGATTTACGTTCGTAGAGGAAACGCACGTCTTCGAACCGACAATGAGTATAGTGCAGTCTTGCTATACACGTTTAGTTTAGTTAATGGTTAAACTTTACTTCGGGGCTAAAATTATTGACTATTTTTACTATTTAGTAATTTTCTGTATGGCATTGATTTCATCAAACCATTATAATAACAAAGGTATTGTTTAAAAATTGATCAGTATCGATATTTACTCTAATTATGTATTTTTACTATTGGTCGCGTCGCCGGTCACCGGCATAAAAAAAAAAAGAACACAGAGTTTAATTCATCTACTCAATTAGCTCGATGATAAAAGAGAAGCTTGTGTCGTTGGTCTCGATTCTTTGTACGCGATGGAATTAGAATAAATCCAGTGGACTCGGCGATCCCTCTATTCGGAACGCGGTTACGCTATACTGACAGCGTGGAATTTTGGGATGGCTTAGGGTCGATTATTGTGGGAATATATCGATAGAAGGTGGTGGTCTGTTGGGTTAACCTGATCGGTATATTGGTCCCGTGGGATAGTCGCTGGGGTCAAACGACGTATGTACCGTGTCTAAAAGCACAATACCACTCCAATCATGTTTCCGTTTCTTTTCTTCCCTCGGTTTTTCATCCTTGTCTCGACCCTTCGCGGAGCAAACGCGGGGAAATAGATTTTCCGCATACATTCATTCTAAATCGTTTCCACGCGAACTTCTTGCGCGATCGCACCTTGTTGAAACATTTATGCGAACCACATATTATACACTTTCGATTTTCCAATATGTATAGTTTCTCGATAATTTCTGGTTTGCAGGTAAATAGAAATTGCGTATAATTCGATACTTTTTGCTGTATGTAGCCAGTGTGCTTCCTAGATAATATCATTTATTCATTGAAAATATTATTTTTTTTTTAATTTATGTATTCATTATAAGCTTGCAAGCCATTAGCGACGACTACGAGTTACATGTCCAACATTTATATGCAACACGTGAGTCATGATATAATTAAAATAAATATGGAGTGACTTATGGTTAGAATGACTAATTCTTACATCTCATAATAATTATAAATATATTTTTATCAGAAAATGTATATGTGTATAAAATGATACAAGACAAAATACGAAGAAGTGACGCTTGCTGCAGTTCCTTTTTCTGCAACTGAATGTATGTATTTATAATCTCTTGATTTTAGCAGCGCTCTAAACGAATAACAGTATTACACGTAACATCGGATAGAATAGCTGCCGCAACGCAAATGTTTATCAGTCTCCGCATATTTTCCTAGAATGCTACTTCCTCCTCTCCTTCCTTAATCACGTGTGTAATTATCGATGGGGAAATACCAGTAGTTGACGTTTCCTTTCGTATCTTCTGTATTATATAAAGCATTTTCTCACGGAATTTTTAGAATTTTTAGAATTTACTTTTACTGTATATATATATATACAGGGTGTCCCAAAAGTCGGGGAGGAGCCGGAAATGGGGGGTAGCTGGGACGATTCTGAACAACAATTTCCTTTGCAAAAATGTCGGTGGGGGCTTCGTTAAAGAGATATTAAGCGAAAACCTCGACCAATCAGAGCGCGCGTAGACCGTTGGAGCGGCCGCGGTAGCGAAGGCTACGCGCTGGCGGCCGCGCTTGTACGCGAACAAGTGAC